GTGCATCAAAACTATCAATTACAATTACTACTGAATCGATTGGTCGACTATAAAGGGCTTAAAAGGCACATTAGCTAGATGAATGACCAAATCACACATGTTTACTTTCTGATGCAAATTAAACCACTCTTGAGAAAATACACGTTCAGTAATAAAATTATATTAAACTTCATTCACAAAATAAAAAATATTTGTAAGTACTTAACGATTCTCTTGTAGAAAAATTGGCAACATTCTTGAAGGAAAGTTTTGCTTGGTACAGTATAGATTTGTCGTGGATTTATAATAGTATTAAAATGGCATTTGCAAAGAATTTATCGCCGTAAGATGTACATAGTTGGTTGTTTTTCGAATGCATTGTAATAATTCGGTAGCCAAAATGGGACAATGGCCTTTAATGGTCAGAGCCAATTAAGAAATGGCACTTAAATCGATGCAATTAACGGACGTACTTTTTACTGCTGGCGTTCGTTTGTTCACCTCGGACGTGTTCAGGTTTTGAAACAATTTTGGGCATCTGAACGAATGGCGCTTTTTCTCGTTCGAAAACCTCCCGGATGCCATCCTTGGGCTTATTACGGCAAAAGAAGTGGAAGAATTGAACTCGCAACGTGTCGCAAAAAACGCACACGGCTACTTTCAGAAGGAGCTTCGCTTGCTGAATGCGCCGAACTCAACGACCAAAGGGTCACAATCACTCCAAACAAAACGGTACTTTGGAAGCGAAAATGATCACCTGAAAAACTTCACCTTTTAATGCTTATAACAACTCGAAGAATTTCAACTAAACACTGCTTGTGTTTCAAACAGAAATCTTAGTTTTTACGCTTCTGCAGTCACATTGTAAAAACTGAGTCTTTACAATTTCGTCATGTCCCAACTTCTACAGTTCATTCGACGGACGTGTTGAATATTCTGTAACACTTTTATAATATTGTAAAGAATTAAGAGCTATAGAATTATCAATTTTATTGATTATTTATTTGTTAATAATCCAAATATTGAAGATTTTACAATACAATTTATTAAATCAGTAATAAATACCATAATAGCAGTATTAGCATCTAGCAAGGAGGAGTTTGAGAAAACTTTAAATAAAACGGAAACGGTATAGACAAAACAGTACTTTACGAAAATAAATCAAAGTAAAACGAAAATACTGGTATGAAAGGGAAGAAAAAATTGGGAAAGCGCGAATATAAAGATAGGAGACGAAAACTTAGAAGAAGTAGCCGATTTTAGGTATCTAGGAAGTCAGATAAAGTCAGGACGGAAGGAGTACTTAGTAGGGATATAAAGCAGAGGATAACGCAGGGTCGAGTCGCTTTCAATAAAAATAAGTCACTTCTATGCTCGCGAACGATAGATTCAGAAATTTGAAAAAGGTTGTTAAATGTGTATGTTTGGAGCACGGTGTTGTACGAGTGCGAAACATGAACAGTGGGTGCGGCGGAAAAGAAATGGTTAGAAGCATTCGAAATGGGGTGTTACAGGCGAATGATGAGGATACCGTGGTTAGAAATGAAGAGGTATTACTATGGAAGTCAATAAGGAATAGGCGAGACATATTAGAGGCAGAAACGGAAGTTAGGAAGGGTAGAGGTAGACCTACATTAGATTAGAGTTAGCAAATAGTTAAGGATATGGGTTGTTCTAGTTGTAGGGAAATGCGAAGATCAGCTCAGGAAATAGTGGAGGTGCGTGTCCAAAGTATCTTAGGACTGCCAACCTTGATGATGAAGAAGATGATGAATAAAAACTGGAGCACCAACTGATAAATCCACAATAAATACATTTAATCCATTCGCGGCACTTAAAAAAAACTAATGAAAATCCTAATTTAAAAAGAAACGATAATATTAACGTGCTCACTTTTGTCACCTTTTCATCATCATAGAGTCCTTAGTCCTAAGACTGGTTGAGCACGCACTTCGCATTTCCATAAATCTAAAATAGACCTACCTCTACTCCTCATAAATTCTGTTTTAGCTTCTAATATGTTCCCAACCAGGCGTTCGACTTCCACAGTACCCTAATAATTATTAATTTTTAGCCTTGTTTGTTCACAGTATTCTAATCATTCACGTGTAACAGTAACAGTAACACCTACATTTCAAACCCTTCTAACTTGTTGTTTTTCACTGCGTTCACCGTCCACGTTTCGCATCCCTACAGACTTTCCTCGATTTAACTGAATTATTATTCAATGTATGTGAACGATTTTCCACTTTCATCTTTAGTGTATTTACTAGAAATATTGTATTATTTGTCAAAGGCATCAAGTGAATTTGCATACGTCTTCGTCAATTCCTGTAAATGTATGTTCGTTTAGGTAGAGTTCGAGCGACTGCTGTTGCTGCAGTAATCTGCACTCTCTTCTGTATAATAAGGCACTCACGATGAAGACGGCAATTATTCAAAGAAGCTCCTCTCTCTCGAGTCCCGGATTTAAACCATCAAACACCTCGAAGCTTTGTCATCGGCTTCTGATATAATCCTCCCTTGTTCACGCTTCGGGTTGTTTTGTTATTTTTCCCAACTGTTCCCGCAACGAATGCTCGGGAAAAGAAATTTGAGACGTACGTACCCCACGTTTTGCTTCAAAATAAACTCAATTCAGAAAAGCAATGTCCTACACGTCGTCGGTTAGAAGAAAATAACGATCGAAATTAACAAAGGCCATTGAATACAATTTAAATTACAATTCCGTGGGCGTATTTCGAGTTGAGGGAAACTCTACAAAATCAAGAACCAGAAATTTTATTCATTGTTTTTCGTACACTTGATTTCTTATCATTATTGTAAATATCGTCTTTCCTCGAACAAAGAAACATCAGTGTGATTCACACGTTTAGTCCATAGCTTTGCAATCGGGAGCATACTGATGGTTCCATTCTGCGGTCTCGGCTGCTTTAGTCACAATTTTTTCTCTATTTCTCTCGTTTCATTCTCCCCTGTCCTCCAACGTAATCCGGAAGGATTGACAACCCATCAGCATTACCTGCTTGTAGGAATGAAGCATCATAAGACTTTTTGAACATGTTAAATAAAATGGATCTAATTTGCTCCAAATAGACGAGTTAGGTTGGTAGCACACGTTCTCAGGCATGAAGGTCTAGTCAGAGACATATTAGAGGCAGAAACACGAGTTAAGAGGAGTAGAAGTAGACCTAGATTAGATTACTTACTTCGCAAATACTTAAGGATGTGGGATGTTCTAGTTTTAGGAAAATGTGAAGATTACCTCAGGATAGGAAGGAGTGAAGGTGCCTGTCCAACCAGTCTTAGGACTGACGACCTTCGGATGATGAAATAGTGCAGTCACAACTACTACTGAATCGATTGGTCGACTTTAAAAGGGCCTAAAAAGCACTTTAGATTGACTTAGTTACACATGTTTACTTGCAGATACAGTAAATGTTTAAAGTAGAAAAAGGAGACTGTGGTAAATAATAATTAATTAAAAATTGAAAAGAAGACTCGCCCCTATTTACCATTACCATTACCATTTTTTTTTTGAATCTGAGTCTCGCGTTGATAATGCCCACGCATGAAGTGGGTGAAACAATTATTATTTTTTGTTTTTCCTTTTCCTAAAAAAGAAAAACAAAAGTTATTGGAAATATAATAATTATGAAAATAAAGTGTGCAAAATCTCAAATTATCAGATATCACATGACGGTGATAACTAAAACTAATACATTTTATAGTTTATTTTTAAAATTTTACGTAGGTGCCTATCTGATTTGAATAACATATAAATATCTCTCGGTAACCGAAATCGATGTCAAAGGTGTACGTGTACCACTTTTCGGTTATCCTTTCTCAAGATATCTCGTCTTCCGGATTTCCTTGCATGAACATATCTCGTCCGATATTCGTCTAGACCGGATATATTGGTTGCGTCGCTACATCACTGACGACTGACGGCGGAGGCACGGCGCCGGCGGTAGAAATAACGACTTCGTTCGTTGCTTCTTCCTACGACCCCTTTGATCAGACTCTTACCTATCTAGGATTGCACGGCGGGACTCGTGATCAAGTTTAGCATAATGGCTGAACTTTGATTCTGAGACGATCTCTGCCGTCGAGCGGTTGCCTTCTTCTTCTTCCTTTCCGTTCTGCTGCAATCGCGGTCGGCGACGCTACTGGGGAGCACAGGATGCCGAAGATTTCTCCTTTATATCAAACGAATTCCCATATGGCGGATGCGATCCTTTGAGGTTTTTGTGAATCTTTTTCTTGAGAAACCGTGTAATAGACGACAGCAAAGGAATGGATATTAGTTCGCAAATTGTTTCGAAAAAAGAATTTTTTCTACAGACTCGAAATTTCGATTGAATTAAAATGGGAATAGGTTCAGTTGAACTTCTGTGATAAAAAGATTCTTTGATATCGTAGAAAATTATTGTACAAATCACTAATATTTTTAACAATTCCTTTCTTAGAGATGAAATCTGATGATGCGCTGTCTTTTTTTTTTTAGTTGGAGTTTCGCGACGTGCTACAGCTATTTCGACGGATCCTTTTTATCTCCGAAATCCTTTATGAATTATGGATATCTCACTTCTCGCTTCCTTAATATGAGGTTATTTCCTCAAAGCTTTCGCAAAGGTGTGTAGAAGGTGTTATCAGGCTTAATATACGTTCAGTATTATGAGTTTTTGCACTTTTTATTTTCTGTGTGAACTATTGTCTTACAAAGATTACAGTTATCCTGAGATAGAGAGCTACTTATGTTTAATACAGAACTGATGTACATATTTATAATCCTATACCCTCATTTATTCCAATTTTATTTCGTTAGAGTATATTCATTTGAAGGAAGATGTAAAAACGCTGTTGTATAGCTAGTAAACGTTGAAAATCATCTTTACACCTTAGATTTAATTTACACCTTAGATTGAAGAATGTTACATTCCATATATCTAAAATTACTAAGGTAATTATATTATTATTCACTTTTACCAATAAACTAAAACTTGATGCTTGATACAGATAATAAACGACTAGTACAGCCTGCTTTATCTTATGATTACGGAGGAACAAAGAGAGTCTCTTTTCCTTTTTTTTATTAGGTAGGAACTCATAATTTCTTTGTCCTGAATTTACTTCCGCAAAGGCAACTTTTATTCTAATTACAAAGATAAAAGAGATAAGAGACTGGGACTAATTATAACGTCAAATTGTATACACAATATCTTGCAGGAGTTGTCGGAATGTATACCATTAAAACATGAACATTTTAAAAATCGTTTTCCTGCTTCGCCTTTAATTTTTTAAATTCTTTTAATTAGCGAAATTTATTCATTAAGGGGCATGTTTTTTAATTAGAGAAGTACATTTAGATACACGATGGCAAAAGAATATTTCAGATGGTTTATTTTAATAGGCATGCCAGACACAATAATAATGCAAAATAAAACAAACAAACAAGTGAACAATTATGTGTTCGAAAAATTCTTACAATTAGTACAGTTTTATATTCTAAAAATTCATGTTTATTTTAATCTACCCTTATATCTACTCTACTATGTACTACCCTTATGTACAAGTGGCTAGTTGGGAACCGAAGACATGGTTATTCTATTACATATAATAATCAGCAAAGAGCGGCAGCATCTTTTGAATAATACGCTTTGCTATAGGAGAAATACATTTAGTTACCTTTTCATATAAATAATAAGGTATTATAAGACTAATAAATATAATTTAAAGCTTATGGGAGGTGCTACGCTTTGTTCAAAAGATTTTGAGAGTTTAAGACAGCTTTCAAAGAAGCAAGAGGTATTTTCATATGGACGTGGTAAAAAAACACGTTCATCAAATTGTGCAACATAAAAAGAAAGAATTCTGACAAACATTATTTGAGTTAGAGGTAGTGCAGAATCTAATGAACCTTGATCTTGATCTCCTTCACTGATTTCGACATTTCTACCTATAAAGAACATTAGCCTTGGGATTGTCAATTTTTGCTTGTATAGCAAGACACGCAGTAAACAATCAAATTTTTGTATTGCAATAAGGTCCGCTTATCACGCGCATGTGAAGGTTCATGAGATTTCGAACTAGCTGTAGGTACTTGATTTTTCTACAACAACTTCAAACGTTTCATATGTAAAGTAGATCTTAAAACAAATTTAAAATGAAAATGGGAAGCCTTTCGCAAAATAACGTATGCTGCAAGAGACACTACCGAAATTATATGTTACCCGGATGACCTGACTGTAAACGAAAATATTTGGAAGGTTCGCTGCACGTAACAGCGCGGTTCACATCATAACGGCGCTGACTGTCGTTACAACCTGGCGAAATTCGCGAAGTCAAATATTACGAGACTGAGTAAACAGCTGTACGAGTCGACCCTTTTGCATATTAAAGGGTCCCTTCAAAGCATCTGTGGCAACAATCCCCATTGTATATTCTGTTCCAACACACGCGAATTATTCCACTGCGATAATTTGTTACGGGCGTCGGCTGGGCCGTTATACCGTCTAAGTACAACGCTACAATATAGACTTCCTTGAATCACCACCCTTTTAAGGATTAAATATAATATCGTATAAAGGATAAAGCAAAAGCCCGAAACGGCATTTCAAAACGACCCTTTAACGTTGTTACGTTGCTTAAACAACGATTATTATTTGCGGTAGGCATATACTTATATAACATATTATTATAAAATGTTTAAAAGTAATTTACAAATAAAATTGTACTTACTTATATTAAAATCCAAATATTTACTCTATCATCAGTCCTAAGATTGGTGGACACACACTCCCTCTTTCCTACCCTAGCTAATTTTCGCATTTCCCTAAAAATAATAAAAGTATTTGTAAACTGTAATCTAATGTACCTCTACCCCTATTATTACCTGTTTCTGTTTTTAATATGTCCTTAACTAGCCCTTCAAGTCTGACAAGATGACCTACCAACCTCTGTTCTCCTACTCTGGCTAATACCTCTTTCCTACCCTATTCTATTCTATCATTTCTAACCTTATCTATCCACGATATCACCATTCGTCAGTAACACCACATTTCAAACAATTCTGACATTTCTTTGCACCGCACCCACCGTCTACGTTTCGCACCCGTACAGCGTCGTGTTCCAAACATACAATCTTTTTCGAGTTTCTAAATTAACCGTTCGCGTCTTTTTGTTAAGGGGGAGGGGATTCGATCCTATGCTATCTTTTCTTTTATATCTCTACTGAAAAAATACTACTAAAAATGTAGAAGACGGATCGCGGGTTGACCACCTCTGGTTTAATCTTTCTGATCTCGTTAAATTTGAAATAAAAATTAATACAAATTTTGATGCACTCTTATACCCCCTTTGAGGTTGAATATCATCTTTTATGGTGAATCAGTGACCAAGTTTCACATGATAACACAAAATTTTAGAATATCTTTTTTTTGCGATTAGTATACATTTCCATAATCATTTCACACTCGTACTGTTAATAAAGCAAATACCTAAATGAGTACCATAAGTGGAGATATAAATGAAAAGATATTAATATTTTTGACTCACGAAATTTTGTTGACTCACTGTAGTCGTAAACGTTCATAAAGGTGCCTACATATTCTTTCGTAAGCCTTTCTGTCACATAAGTAATAGGGCTAAGGATTCCGAAACGCCTTAGAAGTTTAGCGTTATTGCCCATTTTTTTTCCGTTGTCGTCCTTTCTTCCTTCTGCCTGCAGGTGCCTTGGAGACCTCCCTTAGATGCAATAAATTCTTGTTACGAATTCCGAGCAAGTACACAAACTAACTAGCTAATGAGAATTATGGGGACAGTAACTGGAATTAAAACGCTTGTAGACTTCGGTGTTTTAAAACTTTTCGGGAGCAGCAGCACCGAGGGAATTGTATTTCCAACTCTATGGAGAGAAAAACAGATTGCTTTAAAATTACATTGTTGCAAACAAACTGCAATTTTAAGTTAAACTTCGGGCTAGACCAAGTGGAATTTCAAATTGAAATTGATTAAAATTACAATTTTCCTTGACTGTAGAAGGATGCAGGAACACTACTAGGGGAGACTGGGGCTGGTCGTGACATTTTGTGTCGTAATTTTTTGTTTGTTTGATTGTTTTACCGGAATGTAGGTTTGTTTGATTAAGTAACTATCTGGGTTATTAATTTAAAAACAATTTTAGATACCGGACTATTAGAAGTGACATAAATAAATAAATTCTGGGAAAAGAGACGTGTAACTGTTAGCCCCGTGCCAGGGGCTGGTTGTTACACTATAAGGGGCAAAATGTTACAAGAAAAACCAAATGTAATATAACAGTTTTTATTAAGAATAATGATAATTTATTACAATTATTATGTCTACAACGTCAAACTACAATGTTTGTATAGCAACCTTTTGCCCCATTATAACAAAAACATATTAACTTCGTTGAACAAAATTATAATCCTATTTTTTGGTCTTACGCCTCATAAAAAAAATAAAATTTAGGTAACTTCCAAACCACACACTGTACCCATTCCTCACCAGTTCGACTCTGATCAAACGGTTCACAATATATCAGGCAAAAATAATCATCTATACTTCCTTCGTTACACTAAGAGTCATGTAAAACCTTCCTTTTCACAGCCTTCTTCCTTTTTCCCTCTTTTTCTCTCCTTTTCCTGGGTCAGTGGAGTTCCGTTTCTTAGTTACCTTTCCTTTTTTTGACGTATTTTCTTTTTTCTTGCTCTGTTCCTGTGCAGCACTACGGGGCAGGTAGTAACAAATAACAACCTTCCCCGAGAAAATGTCACTTTTATCCCCAACTCCGAAACTTACCCTTCAAGGTTAAGTAGTAAAACCGCAAATAAGTATAACTGTATAAACGTCGATTCGTTGCAAAAACAAACGATTAGGGCATAAATATAACAACACACACATATCTGCTTTAAAGGAAAAGAGGTTGTAGATCAATATTACGAAAAAACGAAAATGTTACTAACCTGCTAACCGGTGGTGGACTTATCATTTGTATCTTTCTTACGTCAAAATAGTATTATTTGTTTAGCCACCGTTGCCGCTGTAACTACCTACCCCTGTCACCACCAACCCCAGTCTCCCCTACACATTGAAACATAGAAATGTGGCTTCTCGTTCGATCTGGTGAATTTTTAATAAAAGTTCTACCTATTATATTCTGAAAACGTTCAGCAAATGCAAAACTTACTGCTGTTTTCTTTTTATATTAAGGGAAGTGATTTCGGCTTTTCAATTTTCTCGTTTCTTGTATCTCCGTGTATGATGTACGGATGTAGGCACATGAATCCAACCGTTCACGCAGTTTTCTAAATTAACTTCTCAAAACTTATCTCGAGTTTGGGGCGGCAAGAAGTTAGCAAACCCACATCTGTTCGGTGGAGCCCGGGAGCGAAAAGACGAAAGCTCGGGATTCGCGGAAAAAACGGTACGTGAACTGGAAGTAGCATCAGGCATTTGGAGTGGGCCGGAGATAAGCAAAAAGAGAGGAAGATGGAGAGAAGAAGAGTGGAAAGCCTCAGCGACAGGCACGTTACTGCAAACAAAGCAGCGGTCACGTCTAGAAGCAGGTAGCAAGTTCAGTAATTAACTGGCATTGTTAGGATAAGTACCAGCCAGATGCGGGAGAAGATAACGTGTACGGCACAAGTCTAACTTTTAGTTCCGACAGACGACTCCGGTCCTTCAGGCACTTCAGAGTCTGATGACCAAAACTTTGAAAACAAACTTAAGAAACTTTCTTAACAGATAAATAAGGAATCAGGTTTCCTTCGTATCGATCTTGTGGAAACTTTACAGAGAAAAGAAAAGCTGATGTAATTTTTTGTGCGACCAACCTAGTTTTAAAATTAGATTTTCCTTTTAAAATTAAACGATGACTTTTCGGACTATAGTTACGAAATTACTCAAATAAACTGAATTATATCTTTTAGAAATATGCTGGAAAAAAATTAGGGTAGTTACCAAGTTCAAATACCTAGGAGAAATAATTCAACCAAATGCCCTGGACAAAGAAGCATTCCTGGCAAGAGCAAGAAAAATGGAACTGGCATTTCAGTTAACAAAAAAATCTATACAATAAGAAGTCCATGTCTATAAGGCACTACAATACTGTTATTAAGCCAGAGGGCCTCTACGCTTCAGAATGCCTTGCACTAAACACGTCCACACTGTTAGACAAGACGGAAAAAAGTAGAGAAAAATTATACGGAAAATCCTGGGATCAAGGTATGAAGATGGAAAATGGAAACTGAGAAGCAACAAAGAGATCTATGCAAAAACAGAACGAATAACAGACAATGAGGAGAAGACACATTAAGAGAATGGATGAAGAAAGATTGACGAATAGAATATTCAACTATTTCGACAGAAATCCCAAAACACAGATAGCATGGATCAAGGAGGTCAAAAGAGACATGGAAGAAACGAAAATTGTTGGAGAGGATGTCTAGAGAAGACAAGAATTCAAAGAGAAAATTAGAAAATTCAAGGGTTTTCAAGAAAGGCCAAAAAAGAAGACTTGAGCTAAGTAGACGGAGGAAAGAAAAAAACAACATGCAGAAAGAATAAACGTTTCTGGAAGAGAAGAAAGAAGGGAGAGGAACAATCATTAATTATTTCACGTGGTCCATAGTCGGCCAAAATCGAAAGAAAAAGAAGAAGAAGAAGCTCTCTGGTAATTCTACATTCGACACATAATTGGAAATGGCAATTTTTGGCATCTCTTGTCTTCAGATGATCATCTGCTAATAAAAGCTGTTGCAATTATAGGGAATGTAACATATTATTTTATTTGTAGGTACATATTTTTAGAAATTAGAAATTTTAAAAAATAAATTATGTAGAGCCAAGTGCAAAACGTGAAAAATTTAATGCGTTTCCGTGTCATAAAATGGATGGACCATATTCATAACTATTTAAAAATACGAGATTAGTAATTTATTCCAACATAAATTCAAAATCTAATCATAGGCAGCACTTATGGTTCCGTCGGTAATCCATCACTTTTTAGGATCGCGTAATCGCCAAGCTCGTGGCATTTGTGTATGGTGTTGTTATCGGGGAGGCATTTGCTCATTTTCATAATACCCTCGCACGCATTTGAAACATACGTGCTGGTATCACAACTTATACGTATAGTATGTGTGTGTGTACCTGTAGGTACATGTACGAATACATACAGGAATATTAGTAGTTACTAGTCAGTCGGATTGCGTGAGTGTCCTTTCTGAATTAATCAGACTAAGATAGATTCGCCGGCTCGGTTATCACGCACAAACGCAATCCAATGACTAACCGATTTGTCTTTGTCCTCGGCCGTTTATTCTTTCTACGACTTGGTTAATGAACACATAAATTGAATCACGCGGAACCCTCACCCGATCCGATCAGTTGCACCGACGAGACATTCACATAATCATCGACCGTGCAACATGTCGTTTTGTCTTTATTGAAATCACCACGCAAGTATCATTATTACTGCTGTTATTATTGTGTATTAGCCATTATTTATGCATTCGTATGAAATAGAAAATAGAAATATGTAGTAGAATGTGCATTTAAAGATCATATTTGATAATGCGCTAAAACCATACATATGTTCTAGCGTAGGTAATGAAAATGGGCACAACTGTCTTCTCTCATGATACAATTTTTCGTAATTAGCTCTTAGTTAAAAGACACAGCTAACTAAAATACTTTCTATATCTAGGATGTTCCTTAAATGCAGTTTTTCGATAAAAATCAAGAACTTCTATTCTGTTCAGCATCCTTAAATCTGTGGCTCGTAGTAATGTGCAAAGCAAAACCAAAACCAAGACTGTCCCAGTCTTGATATTCGTATTCGTCTTGTTTATTCGATCATGGTCTTGCTCAAATACTTCTAGTTTTAGTCTTGGTCTTTATCTTGATGTTACGTGTTAAGACTTGGTCTTGTTTATCCTGATACTTACGTGTTTTAATAATTCTCCTAAGCATAAATTTTTCTATTTATCGACACAACAGTCTTAAATGCTGATTTTTTGTCATACATGCGACCTTGTCATGACTTTTAAAGACTTTGTGCCGATAAAATAATTCGAAGTGGTCTGTATTCTGTCGAAACTGCCAGACGCGGATCGCGATTTCGATCTTTTTGGATATCATCAGCGCGTTGCAGACCAACTTTTAGCTGCTGTCTTAACAGTGTGTTTTAGAAAATACCACAAATGGTGCGGTAAACGTCATCTGTAGTACGATGCTACATTTTAGGATTACGTATGCTCCAACAAGGTCCACTTGTGTGGATATCTACTTGCTGTTAAGACAGCAGGTAAAAGTTGGTCTGTGTTCTGTCGGAGCTGTCTGCGACGCGCTGATGAGATCCAAAAAGATCGAAATCGCGATCCGCGTCTGGCAGTTTCGACAGGATACAGACCACTTCGAATTATTTTATTCGATTATGGTAACCTGCGTATCACGTTGAGGTTAGCTACGCCGGGATTCGTTTCAGCAAGTAGATATCCACACAAGTGGACCTTGTTGAAGCATACGTAATCCTAAAATGTATCATCGTACCACAGATGGCGTTTACCGCGCCATTTGTGGTATTTTCTTTGTGTCGGTAGTTGTGAAAGTTATAAAAACTCCTCCAAGACATAATTGACTTTTTAGCGAACAAAATATTAGCACAAGGTGCTTAAAACAAGTAAAAATATTGAAAAAAAAAATTAATTTGTCTCTCTAATTTCAACCATGTGTTATCCAGGCATAGGACCAAAGAACATTTACTCCGAGGATAATTTTGTAGATCCTTTTTTTCAAACGGTGGTAAAGTTTAGTTTCAGATACTAAAAATGTTTTGTTCCAAGAAAAGAATATATCAAAGTTACTTCAAACTACTCATAA